AGATCCTTTTAACTGCATAGATGATTATTGATATTGATATTGGTTATTGACTTTAACTGTAGGTTTGATTTCTTTTGATATTTTAATCTGATTCATACTCTTCAAAGTCGAATTCAACAGTCATGTCTTCTTCGATTTCTTCTTCTTCCTCTTCTTCTTGCTGAATGTTCATAAATTGTTCAAATGAAGGTGAATCAGCTGTCTCTTCATTGAAATCACATGAATCTTCGTCTGTTGTATTCAGTTGGACGTTTGAGCAAGACTGGCTTTGGCAATTAGTACACGCTGGAGAACATAGTAACCCTACTCTTCTACAGCCACATTTAGCACTACAACCTTTTTTGCAATTGCAAAAAATAGTGTTTAGGTGGGAGTAAAGTTTGAATCGGTTCCAAAGTATTATCTGTTAATTTCCAACCCCAGTCTTCTGGGTTCAGTTGATTGCCTAGCCATGTCTGAACTTGATAGCATACTCGATACAAGTGTTGATTAGCAGAAGCCGATGTTGGAGGGAGACAAGATAGTTGTACTTGTTTCTTGTCTCGTGTATTTTTTACAAAAGTTTTTACAATAGAGTAGCCAGTAGTGTTATTCAAGGCCATGCGGGCAGAGGGGATTGACTAAGGGACTGAGTTTTTTTTCGAGTGTATATTCTCAGAATAGTATAGTTTATACATATAAGAGACACAAATAGGCATTTTTACTTGTATTAAGTGCCTGACTATGTATATACGTGGCATATATGTGCATATTATGTAGAACGTGACTCCTTCAACTTTTAGAATCGCGATATCTCAGGAATGGTGATACTTAGAAAAAAAGTATAAGGACCATTTTTGTAGATAATTTTAAGATCTATAATTTTTGTCAGGGCTACTTTTTCGATAAAATTTACCGTTTTCGAAAAAAATCCAAAAAACTTGAAATTTTGATCTTTGACCCGGAATAAGTTTTTTTAGCACACATGGTATCGTTGGGGACTTTTAGCACTTTATTTCTAATGGTGTACACAGGGTCTCCACCAAAATTTAGCACTGTCGGAATTTTCGTTATTTGACCACTATTTTTATGTCTAATTTGACCGGATTATAAATTGTAAAGGATTATTAAACTGTAATATGAACATTTGGAAATGCCCATATTTTCCCAAGCTTATCCTTGCACTAATTACAGTTCCGCCCAAAACCGACCGATATATCGCAAGTTTCTTTCATGTTGCACAAAGCGCGTGGTTAAACTGAGCTCTTCTTCTGGCTACGTCAGTTAAAAGCCGTATATAGGGAGGATTAGGTATTACATTGATTGCTTGCACATTGAAGTAATCTGTAGCCTGTTAATAATTAACGTATATCAAGGGGATTGCTTGTAAGGCTCCTCCACGTACCGCCGCTATCGGGGGGGTTGCCACCCTTTGTTTCTGGGGGGGGGGGGGGGGCCAACGCTGGCTGCTCCGGTAGTCCGGCTGGCGGCTGGTTGGCTCTACTGGGGGGTCGAGAGGATATAGTCAGTGTTTGGGTAAACGTGACGGGTGATGAAATTATAATTTTTTTTCGTGGCGTTTACGGAGTTTTATCTTTGCAACAGAATATTATTTAAATATGAATTCGCCAAAAATTCAACTCATATCGTTCCGCAACCACCGTATTCGCCTGATTTAGCACCGAGTGATTTCCGATTATTCCCTAAACTCAAAAAATAAAAGATATCAATTAAGAATACAACCCATTGCGATATTGCTTGCGTGTTTTTTGAGATATTTTGAGAAAGATAAATAATAATCACCGTTTTTTTGCTTGAAACATTTTAACCCTTTCTAAAAAATAAAAAATGTGAAAACGGCTTTTTTCGCCGCACAGGAAGTCATTAATTTTCAGTGAGATTTGAATGTGCAGCACAAATATTTCGATCTTTCTTTTAGTGCGAACGAATTATCTTCTTTTGCCTGAGAGGTAACTTTTGAAATTCCCTGCAATTTAGGAGAGTAAATTTGCCGGTATCTCCCGTATCCGTACGATTGAAATTTCGACGCAGTTGTATAAAATCAATCAGGCAGAAGTCATTGAAAAATGCTGAGTAAAACGAAAACGTTTCATTAATATTCATGAGAGCGTCCTCAGTTCCATATTCTTCAACGGCCTTATTTAATATGATTACCTCGATTCCGTTGCGCGGAAGAGTTATGGAGTTTGACGAACGCCGAAAATTTGAATATGTAACGAACTGAAAAAAATATATTGGGAATTTGGAAGCCCGCTTCAGACGGCTGTTTCATTTCGTAAAGTTATAATCTATCTAAAGCGATCACCGACCAGAAGACAGCAATTTAGTTTAATTTGGGGAATAAAAAAAGCTTATTATTAAATTTAAATATATTTCAAAAAGAAACACCATAGTTTTAAGAACGAAAGCGTTTGATTTGGTGTTGTGTGTTTTTTGTCTGCTCTTTTCAATGTGGGATTTGTGCCCAGAAAACGTTTTACACAAAAAAATTCTTGACTGATATTCGCGGTACAAGAATGTACTTATAGTCCAGACGATAGAGCAGTAAAAGTAGGCTTTGGCGTTTGTGTTTGAAATCGTCTATTTTGTTGCACAGAAAATCCCAGATATTATGTAGAATAAGAATCCTAGTTTGTCTATTCCAAAAAACCTTCAGGGGAACAACAAACATTCAAAAAGAACGAAAAATTACCCGTTTTCGACATATTTTTCCGTGTAACATTGAAACTAAGCCCTAAATTAAAAAGTCATTATTTATTTTTTGTTTATTTGACGTTTTTCTATAAAGTTACAACAATAGTGAATCAAAAAAGTTGAATTTTGCATTAATTTTTAAAAATAAATATCAACGAAGTAATAATTTTTTTTATTGAATGTTATGAAGAAAAGAATAGAAATAAATCTCGAGACAGTTATAAAATTTCTCGAGGCAAAATTTGTTACCGCACTGTGAGTTTGAAATATTTATAATTTTTTAATTTTTTAAAATTTAAGTGTGATTTATTTCCATTCTTTTGTTCATCATATTCAATTAAAAAAAAAGATTATTTCGTTGATATTTATTTTTAGAGGTCGCAAGGAAACAGGTCCACTACTTTGAAAGTTAAAATAATTTAGAAATTGATAAAATAACGAGAAAAAAAAAAGAAAAAAGGTTTATATTTAACGATTTTTGACATTTTTTAAAATCTTGAGCGACCTCTAAAAAGATTTTTTTTTACCTTATTTGAGGTGGCTCTTAAAACATGATAAACTAACATATTTTCACGAGACACGAAAAAAAAAATTCGTTTTTTTTGGGTCATCCTACTATGTACGTTTTCAGTCACGAAATTTGAATAATTCCAAATATTTCGAATTTTCTCCCCCAAGAACAGCGGTGACATTTTTAAAATTATGGGGATGTTTCGCATGGTACTAGCTATGTCCTGTACACATTTAGTTTCGCTCAACTCGCTCGGTTTCAAAAATACAATACCTATGTACGTTTTCAGCCACGAAATTTGAATAATTCTACATTTTTCGAATTTTCAACCCCAAGAACGGCGGTGACAACATTTTTAAAAATATGGCGATGTTTCGCATGGTACTAGCTATGTCTTGTACACATTAACAATGGACGAAAAATAGTAGAAAATCTTATGTATATTTCGAGCAATTTTTAAAATAGTAAATATTTATAAATATTGATGAAACTTTGTGAACAAATAGTAAAACATATGTCAATTCTACGCCAAAAATTTTGCAACGATCGATCGCGTGGTTTTCGATTGACAGGATTGTTAATTAAGGTTTATATTAACGTTTAGAAAGAGACACATTTTTTTAGAAATACTTGTCATAATAAGTGAAAATTTTACCAATCCTTTTAATGTACAGAATGCAAACAATGGCGTTCCATTAATTTATTTCTAGCAATCCAGAAAAATCCCCTTCAGCTTCCGACAATTTTTTTCAATTATTCACACCCTGCAATAAAACTCACGTCAGTTACAATGATCTGCATTATTTTTCACTGTGCCATTCAATTACATTCAAATAGCTTTTTCCGCGATTATGTTCTTAGGATAGTGAGGGGGGAATTACCTTGTATCAGTTCCCCTAGTGAGGTATGGCCTCCGACGAAGTTAATCGAAGGGAAAATCCCTTGTAAGGGGCAAAAAATATTCAAACTTTCATTGGAGCATTATAAACACAAGCTGGCGGAAATTCGGATTTTAATTAGGGAGGATGGCAAAGGAGCAAAAACTTTTGGTAGGATGTTGGGCACCGAAAAAGTTGTTAACGAATTATGAGAGTAATTAATAGATGATTATACTCGAATTTCTTCAAGAATTTCCATCGTGTTTATGTAGAAATGTTTCAGAGCAAGTAAGCTGTAAAAGTCTGTACGAGTGAACGTACATAATAAAATCAAAAAGAACTTTGTGAAAGTTATGTTTTGGTGCATATTATTCTTCCTTGACTTAAAGATAATTTTTTATGAAAATCTCTCAGACATGTTATTTGACAAAAATTAATCCAGAAAGTTCTAATGACAAACAAACAAGGCAAAAGACAAAGAAAATTGCACAGCAACAACTAATTCTTCTGTAGCAACGTACAAATATGAATTATGTGTGTGAAAATGTGATATGTGTGTGAAATTACGTGTGTGATTATGTGTGAAATACGTACCAAGCGAATTTAACTATAAAAATAATGATTTTTAAACATTTTAAATTATGTTCGTTAAACCTCCCTCACTTGTAAAAAATTATTTTTATAGAATCCTTACAGCTTCACCAGGAACTAAACTGAAATATGAAACGTCTGCAAAATGCCATAACTCCAAATGTGTGTTGGGATAAATCATTTTTATTGTGCAACATGAGCTTAAACATTCGCTCGCGTAAAAGGCATAAATGACGGCTGACTTGTCAGATTTAATCGAAAAAATGTAAAAATTTTTTATTAATCCTAAGGTAAATATACATGATACATATTTCTTTCGTTTTCAGATCACTGCGGAAAGTGCAAGGCGGCTACAAGAAGGCTAAACCTAAACAAGTACTGCAAAAGGGATTACGGTGAGTGTCGTACAGACGTTGATAGTTATTTACGTACTTGATTATGTATTTTTAATGATGTGTCACTTAAGATGTTATTATTTTACGTCCGCAAATATTTCACCTACTCAATTACTTCACGTTCGCTTTTACTTCACGACCGCTTCACTCTGTTCGACCGTAGTGGATGTGAAGTAATTGTGAAGTCATTGTCCGTGAAGTATTTGCGGATGTAAAATAATACGATATTTTAAAAAACGACATTTTTTATCGGGAAGTGAATTTATACAACTAGATTTTGCAGTAAGGTCAACGGAAAATTATTTTAGCTGACAGAGACGTTACTATTGCCTCCTATTTTTTTTTCTTTATGCCCTTGCTATTTATTTTTTTTTGTTGAAATAGTTTGATATTGATATATATCTTAAACTATTATCTTGTCACAGTTAGATAAAGATAACATTAAAGTAGTTGTTATACAGGGTGTCCTAATATTTCGTGTACAACTGGGCAAAATTTCATGTAAAATGAGATGGAAATTTAAAGCCGTCTTAAATTGGACATGCTGTACTTATCTGTGGCGTCTTATACTTCTGATTTTTTTTAGCTCGGTCAAATTACATTTTTAATTTGCGTAAGATTTAAAAGGTACATTAATAGGGACAAGTCGGTGTGTACATTAATTCTGTGAAGCGATTACGATTTTTTTTTGCGAGATAAATCCTCCGATTTGTGTACCGGTGATCGTAAAACATAGCCGCTTCTTTAAGTCCTTCACCCCGGCGTAATTTACGGTCGGGTAGTGATCATACTCAAGACGAACGTACTCGAGGTTTCAATGCACCCTCGCCCGTATACGCGCGTAACGTTTTTATAATTGAAAGAATAAATTAATGATGTCGTTAAAATTCAAACTTAGATAGTAGCGCTCCTTGTAATAAAATTATCTTAATGGGCTTCAACGCGTTTTTAATTCTATCGAAAGTGAAACACGTCTTTTGGAACGAATCTAAAATATACGGAATGGAATTTTCCCTGTACGTATTGATGACGGTAGATTCTCTTTTTTTTCAGCGATAATGGCACGGGTGCTATCGCAAATCGAAAACAACGACGACGAGCACACAAAAGGATGGGTGCGGTACATGATAAACGTCGAATTCGTGTACAAGAAAGCCAAAGATTCCCGAATAAGAAAGGGGACGATGCCCATGCTGATTCCGGCGACGGATTTGGCATGTAAATGCCCCAAGATACGGGCCAATAGGTAGGTACCATTTATATAAAAAAAAATCGTTAGAACATTATTAGAACATCCTGAAACATATACAGGTCATTCATTCCGAAGAACATCGGCAACGTTACTGGCTAATACAGGAGTTGATGTATTAGCAATCAAGAGACGTGGTGGGTGGAAATCAGCCACAATTGCAGAAAGTTATGTTGCTGACAGTTTAAGTTTAAGAATGATTTATTATTGTAACATCAGTTCCATTGCAACCTTATGTAATGTATAAATTCAACAGATTTATAACTCATTCACCTCATCAAACACTAACAACAAGGCCAATTTTTGCCCTTTTTTGACGATTTTCGTCTTATAACTTTTTTGTGAGTTAATTTAGGTATATGTGATGCCATATTCAAATGAAAGCTGATCCTTTAAAATGGTGCCTGGTAGAAGTTTGTACAATTAAAATCAACCGAGATATGTCAATTTAACCAACGATACTTTTCGAGACACTTTTTCTTATTTTTATAAAATTTTTATTACTTTCGGTATTATTTTGTCTAATAAATTTATTTTTGTGAATGTGAAAGTTAAAATAAGTTTCTAGGTGATTGGATATTATTATTTATTTATTTAAACAAGAGTTAATTATATATATCTTATAAATTTTACCACCATTATAAAGGTCTTGAAACCAGCTTTCATTCGAATAATTATAGCATTACAAATACCTAAATTAACTCAGAAAAAAGTTATACGACGAAAATCGTCAAAAAAGGGCAAAAATTGGCCAAAAATCCAAAAAGGAGCCAACTTTGATCCAATGCATCTCGGTTTCTATTAGTCGTAAGTGCTTTTATAAACGCTTATTTTAAAGGAAAAAACATTAACTTTTTTTCTGTGAAGTAATGCCTATACCTAACTCCTCTCAGAAAAAGTTGTGGGCTAAAAACCAAAAAGAAAAAAAACCTCATTTTTTGTGCATATTTTTATTAAAAATATTTTTTTTACTTCAGAAGGTCTCATTTAGATTGGAAATTCAATTTGCTACAAGTTATAGTGAAAAAATGCATAGTTTTCGAGTAAAACTCAAAACACTGAAAATACCACTGTTTTACTTCGTTCTCAAAAACGCACCCCCGCGGTTTTATCATTTTTTAGTGTCAATTGAACATATCAAACAATAAAATTTCTTTTACGTTTTAGTTCCTATCTAAAGTACCTAGTGAATAGCCAGGCCTGTCTATACATTACATACGTAACTATGACTGTCTATGTCTGTGTCTGTATGTACGAGATCTGTTCAGTTTTTTTCAGTAACCCTTGTAAAACGCCTTGATAGTACACACGATTGACTTAAAAGTTAAAATTCGGTTAAAAAATCTCGCGCGCGACTAGGGCGGCGTTCGCGCGCGTGCGCGGGCCCGGCGCTCATTCTCCCGCTTGTAGGCCGTTCATGAACTTTTACTGCTGCTAGGGCGTTTATTACATGAACTATTAATGTAAAACTTTCTGAAATTAAAAGTTTATCCCTTTCTTTAATTGCCTGTACGATCGTGCGTCGATTTGGATGGATAAAAATATTTTTTCCACAGGTCGTACCTGTTCTTGGGCAGGGAAAAGGACGACTCGCCCGGAGGGATAGTGACCGGCAGCCTGGGTGTAACCCAGAGGTCCATCGTCATCGAATGGAGAGACGAGTGGGACCAGAGAATGCGTAGGTTCCGTCGCAGGGCCCGGAAATGCAAGTGAACCGCCAAACCGCAGGCGCCCCACCCTCCCCCAAAGTCATTTACTGGATTCTAAATTTTCAGAGTAAAGCTGACAGTTGTACTGTGATTTATTTATTTCGTTTCAGTATTTAAATTTATATAAATGTATGTATGTAGCTTCCGAGGCTCGCGAGACTTACCATTTTATTAATTACTAATTTAGTAATGTAAATGCACTGTACCAAATGCATTCTCTATTCTATTTTTAATTTTAGTTGATAGATATTGTAATATTTTATATTTTGTAAATATTTTTTATATGATAAATGCCGCATTAGTGATTATAATAATTTATTTATTTTTGAATGGGACGTGAGAGAGAGAGAGAGAGAGAGAGGGATGACTGTGAGCGATTTTTGATTAACGTATTTTATAAACGCAGCTGAATTATTCGGTAGGTATGTCTATAATTTTTCGAACTCGAAAATTAGTTCTTGTTTTTCATTTTGAGAAGAAAATTAAAATATGCAGTGTAACCAATTTTTTTTTAAAACGCATCTTTGAAAAAATTTTATTTATTTTCAGGTAAGCATACATTTAATTTATTTGTAAAGTTTTACCAAAATTGGTCGGGGAATATTTTTATTTAAAATTTGACTACGCCACTGGCATCTGCAGCCCGTCAATGCGGTCTATACCAAATTTCAAGAAAAATTTTTTATGTATTGCTCATTGTAAAATTAATATTTATTTTTCAGAGGGCTCTATAGCCAGCAACACATTTTTATAGATTTTATTACACAGTTCGTCAAAATATGAATTAATGCACAAATTACAGACTTTCCTCCATTCTAACGCAGATTTTCTATAAAATGGACTTGGCCTGAAACTCCAGTTACTTTTTGCTGTAAAGAAATTTGTAATTTGCATCGTAAATTACAAATATCTTTGCACCAAAATGTGTTTTGAGTTTCAAACTAATTCCATTTTATAGAAAATCTGCGTTAGAATGGGGGAAAGTCTGTTATTTGTGCATTGATTCATATTTACACACACTGTGTATTAAAATCTATAAAAAAGTATTGCTGGTTGCCTATTTTCTATACAGCCCTCTTAACTTCAATGAATTATAATTACGAATAACAAAAAACATACAATTGTATTATTATTTTCTCTTTGGAGCTGCATATTAACAAAAACATATTATTTGTTTAATTAATCTATTTATGATCGAATAGATTACCTTCCCCGTTTAAAGAAGACCCAGTAAAAACCTTCAATATTAATTTGACAATGAGCGATGAAGTTTTCCACGAGATCTGGTAAAACTACATTGACCGAAAACGAAACTAAACAGTGTGCTTCGATAACTGAAAATAAATTCAAACGTTATTTTTTTTAACAATAAGTAAAAGGCATACTAAAAATATTCTATGAAAAATTGTTCATTACATATACAGGGTGTTCGAATTTTTAAGGGTACAAGTTTTTCTAACAATCTGGAACTAAATCATATAAAATAAACAACCTTTGAAGTAATCCTTCATTTATTGCAATAATTTCATCATATTTTGCCTTTCCCATTCCATTTCTTCTGAATTCGAATTCTTGCAAAAAAAATGTGTCATATTTGTAACAAAAATATATAAAAACGCTGATATAACAAAAAAAATTAGTTGCTTAAAAAAATCAAATCAAGTATTTACAATTTCAAAGTTCTAGTTGCGAAAAATTTGATTTGATCTTCAATTGTTTTTTACGTACGAAATGAATGCCTTGAACACCGGTAGATCAAAACACCCTGTATAAAAACTTGTTACGTACCTACTTCGGATCACCATTTTCAATTTCAATTAAAACGTAACGATTTTGGGACGTTTCTCGGATTCTAAGATTCTGCGTGCGAGAGTGTGGCGAATGAGCGGAAGTTGTGCGTACCAGTCGAGATGAGATGTACAGTATTACAAATTGTTTGCTAATAATTATAAATATTCCATATGAAATAAGTTAAGCTGCTATATCTATATGTAACAAGTAAATCTAGTTCCTAGAGGCCATATTAAACATCTAAATGTTTCAAAAATGTTATATGATATATGAATAAACGTAGATCTAGTGTTTGGTGTCGTCAACATATCAAACTGTAACGTGTTTTAGCAATATCTCAGCTATGCGCTAAATAATTAAAATAATTGCGTATTCATTATTATAAAAATTATGTTAATCGTGGTATAACAATTTTAAAGTTTATCCGAAAACGTACAATCTAAGAATTTCAACTGTCTTTACTATATTCCGATGCATAATAACGTGTATATTTGAAGGTTATAAGGAACTTCCATTTAGTGAGAATTAGTTACATACTTAATTTGTCAACATCAGTAAAATATTATTTGTAAATTCTTTGTGTACCTAATAAAATTGTAATAAATGTATTATGTATAACTTACTGTTTTTTTTCCCTATGACCACCCTTACTTGAAACCCACAAATCAGTGTTTCGACACACTTTGTAAATGCACTTACACTTTACACTTATTTTATCACATGAATAACTGGACCTGTGCTCCTGTAGGTTTAAATTTCAGTTAAATAAGGAAGCGATCCTGATTACTTGACAATTTATAAAAAAACCTATAATGTACTGTCACAACATTTAAAAACCGATTGTTTTGTTTTACAAGTAAATAAAATTATTACGAATATAATACAGTGACATCTGGTAGCCGATATCAAAAGCTTGGCGAATGGCGAGATAGGTTTTAGGCGGATGGGAGACCGACGGCTGGCTTGATTGGTTCAATAATAGGTGCTTGGCGGGGCGCGGTGGTAGCGATGGCGAACTGTCATCAGTGTCATCAATAATATCGAGCGAGTAACCCCGAAAAATTAAAAAGGAAATCAGAGGAAAGTACAGTAAGGGACATTTTGTTTAATAAAATACTACAAAATTCAATTTCTGAAACAAATTTAAATGTCATTCCCGCAGCGCCATCTGTAATCCATAAGAATGACTAGGATCCAATTTTTGAAGAAAATTAAAGGTTCCTCTACCAGCGCCATCTTTTATCCGGACGATATACAACTAGGAACGTGGCACACACATTACAGTTTTCGTTAAGGGTTTTCGACAAACTCCTCAGTTGATAACAGTCGTTACAGGATACTATCATCTGTCATCTCATCCCGTTGCAGGAATATTTTAACCTAACTTTTTGATTTTCCATGCAAATTGGAGACACAAGTATTAAATAAACTCGCAAAATCATGACCGCGACGTCTAATAAAGGAACTTTTCAACCCGTAAGTAGATGTTGACCGGTAATATAATAAAACCGGTTATCTGGTAGCCGATATCAAAAGCTTGACAAATGGCGAGATAGGTTTTAGATGGATGGGACACCGACGGCTGGCTTGATTGGTTCAATAATAGGTGCTTGGCGGGGCGCGGTGGTAGCGATGGCGAACTGTCATCAATAATATCGAGCGTATAACCCCGAAAAATTAAAAAGGAAATCAGAGGAAAGTACAGTAGGGGACATTTTGTTTAATAAAATACTACAAAATTCATTTTCTGAAACAAATTTAAATGTCATTATGGCAGCGTCATCTGTAATCCATAAGAATGACTAGGATCTAATCTTTGAATTAAATTAAAGGTTCCTCTACCAGCGCCATCTTTTATCCGGACGATATACAACTAGAATCGTAGCACACCCATTACAGTTTTCGTTACGGGTTTTCGACAAACTCTTCAGTCGATAACCGCTGTTACAGGGTACTATCATCTGTCATCTCGTCTCGTTGCAGGTATATTTTAACCTAACTTTTTGATTTTCCATGCAAATTGGAGACATAAATATCAAATAAACTCGTTAAATCATGGCCGCGACTTCTAATAAAGGAACTTTTCAACCCGTAAGTAGATGTTGACCGGTAATATAATAAAACCGGTTAAGTAAATTTGGTAATTTTATTTTTAGGATTCAGATGTTCACATCACCTACGAAGACCAACAAAGGATAAATAGGTTTGCTCGACTAAACGCTAAGTTAGATGATTATAAGGAAGAAATAAAAATTAAAGAGGTACGTTCGAAATTAATTTCAAGGTTCTATTTTGGTTTTAACCGTTGATTGTGAAATTTTGCTTTCGATATACTTGTGTTGTGTATCGTTGAAGATGGTTTTTGGGTTATCGAGTGTTCTGTTTATTTCAGAACGATCTTAAAAGTCTTGAGGAAGCTTGCGATGAAATTGCTTTGTTTGACGAAGACGAGCAGATTCCGTACTTAGTAGGCGAAGTTTTTATTTACCAGAACACGGAAACCACTCAGGTAAACTACGTCTTCTTTATTACAAAAATTAATAGTAAATTAGTGACTTAAATTTCAGGATTGTTTAGAGGAAGCTAAAAAGAGGATTGAAAAAGAAATTAAAGAACTGAAGGGTAAATCGAATGAAGTTCGAGACATTATGGGCGAGTTAAAGTCTCATTTGTACGGCAGATTCGGTAGCCACATCAACTTGGAAGCTGATGAAGAATAATTCTTTCAGTTTATTATTTATACTACTACTAAATTATTTAAAAAATATTTGCTCGTATTACGTCTGTTGGAATAATTTTTATAGCCTTGTCGTCTTGTTCAAAGATGCACTAATTGTATTAATCACGTGTAAACATTATTTAATATATTGTTTGTACCAAAAGCAGGTAAATATACAGACTTATCATTGAAATAGACTCTTTAATATAATGATTATGAAACATTTACTCTTAATTGGTCAACAAAGCATCTTAAGAGAAAAAATAATTCAAATATGTTCTAGCTTTTTTTATATGGACTTTTCTGCAGTTTAACTCATAAATATTTTTTTTACAATTTTATAGTGAATATGCAGGTCCTGTGTATCATGTCGCTAGATTGCACAGTTTGACACTAAATAAATTTAGTAATAAAGTACACAATAAAAAAAATGGGTAGGTATGTCAATTATTCAAAAATCTTTTGTGAAAATTTACTAAATCTAGAATAATGATATACATAGTTCATTAAAACTTTTTTTAATAAAAAATCCCTAAAGTGACTAAAAAAATATTACAGTAGGTCGTGGATTGCCAACTAGATTATTATTTAACAAGCATATCTAGAAGGCCATTATTTATAAAATAAATATACGAATTGTGAATTCCAAAAAAATTTAGGAGTACCTTAGTTGGTGTCCAGCTAAGGTCAGTGAAGAACAGTGATATTAGGGAAAGTATAGATACACAGCAAAATTAGCGAAAATAAAAAAGAAACTCGAAAAAATTCCTATCCGCAATATTATTGTAAAATTGTCTAAAGGAACATAATACAAGACATCTCTCATCTCGTGAGTCAAAAAATTTTATTAGCTAACTTTTCTATTTAAACAAATAAGTGAGGAAAACAGTTTTTTCACTTTGCAGGAAAAACCATCAATTTTAGCGAAAAGTGACTCACAGACAGCTTATAGGGAGTAAAATTATCTACAAAATGAGACTTGTTAAATTAAAATCGGTTAATAAACAAAAAAGTTATTGCAAAAATACAAGAAAAGTGCCCATTTTTTAATTTGTTTATAACTATCGCATTTATTGTTAAAATTTTATAAAAGCTATGACAAGTTGAGGGTTTTGTCATACTTTAAAAGTGTGCCAAAAGTGGGCGCTGTAGGTGCAATAGTTTTCGCACAATTCAATTTGTTCATAACGAAGGCTCCAAAAGTTATGAACTTTAAGCCTCTGTACAGGCGTTAATTTTCAACCAAACATGATTTTGAAAGCGTCATTGTAATCTTAAAGACGTAATTAAGCGACCTATTAAAAAATATCATCGTTATTTTGCCATTAACATTCTCAAATTGTGCATTAAGTTCAAATTGATGCGCGCTGTAAATTTTGCAATATCTCGGCTTCTATTCATCGTAGAAATTTCTTTTTTTTGATAAACTCGAGTAGTTCGACGAAAAAATAACAAAGGGCATATTTACGAATTCGTAGAATAGCTCTGAACCCCAGAAAAAATTCATCTTTTATTCTGATTTTTTTTTAGTAAACAAAAATGTCACAAAAATTATTGTTAAAAGAAATATTAATTAAAATTTCAATTTCGGAATTATTTTACTATTATTAAATAAATAAATGAAGCTATCGTTCATTTAATTGATTTTTTTTTACATATTAAGCCAAAGTAAACTTATTTTTTCAATATTTTGTTAGTTATTTCATTACGATTTAAATGTGAGACGAGAGATCTCTTGTATTATGTTCCTTTAGACAATTTTACAATAATCTCGCGGATAGGACTTTTTTCGAGTAAAAATTTTATTTGCTTGGCCTAATACCCTAGCCCTAGAACTTCAGTAAAATCGCTGGAAATAGTTTTCAAATTCGTAGCTCGGCTGCTAGAGGGCGCAATCTACATACCAAAACATAGTTCAATTTTTCTCAGAAATGTTTCCTATTCAGGTATATTAAATAAATAATACAAATACGGACAACCGGATTCATTGCGCATAACTTTTGTTATTAACATTTTGCTCTATCTATCGACAGAACGGGTGGGGGGAGCCCCTAATGCCTGATCATAAAAGTGCATTTTTTTAAGGATTGACTCATCGAAAGCCCATAGGGTTATACCTCCTTGCAAAGATTTTTTATGCTTTATCTCGTGGTGAATGCGAAATGTCATTTATTTCAACATGGAATCCTATAGATGGCATTCTTTGAAAATAATGTCGTTTTATGGATTTTTCTCAAAAATTTTATAGTTTCGTTACAAAAATGAATTAAACACAAAAAATTGGTGAATACAGTAGAAGATTGAAATTTCTAACGAAAGTGTTGTTTATTTATTGGCGATATTTATCCAAGTTTAGGTTGTTTCACGTTTTCTTAAAAAAGTGAAATAACAGGATAACATTTTATAGGTTAGTTTGAAAAGCATAAAAATAGCTACATTTTGACGCCAAAAAGGGTCCGATACCTTTTTTTGTTATCAAGTTATTCGCAAATTAGCGAACTAAAAATAATTCAATTTTGCCACTAACACTGCCACTTATGTTATCCGTAGAAGATGAGCTGTTCTAGATTCTCATCCTCTTCTCTCGAAAATCTAGGCTAGGCCAGTCTAATTTACAACACGACACGAACTTTTTACCTTGATCTACGTACACGAAATAATTACATTAATTTAATGCAAAATCAACCAATTAAACAATAATTTATTATGGATAGGTTGTAGTTCTGCTGATTGTGCCATGGTCGTTATATTTCGATGTGTGTGTGTGTGTGTGTGTGTAAGTAATAATAGAAAATCGCGAAGTAACTTGCAAGTGAAGATTAGCTTTCTCTTGCCTACACCCCCATGTACGAAAACAGCACACCAGAGGCGTGCGCAATCTAAGAAAATAAATACAAGTAATTTGCAACGAAAAAAATAAATAATGATAATGAATTGAGGAACACGACGCTAACGAAAAGACATTTAATTGCCAAAACAAAATGCGTTTACAAAAGAACCTACCTAAGCACGTAGCGAAGGTGGTATGTATACCCTGTATACATATTTCTATTTGATATAAGTTCCTAAGGTAAAGGTTTAACGTACCGAAATTTTAAATAACACTGTATTGCATGTAATATTTTTGTTACAAAATAAAGGTCAAGCTAAAATAACATCCTACGCAAAACAAATACAATAATTAAATTTCCTCAATATTACTGCCAAACAATATACTGAAACACTTTGGTGTTATTATTTTTATAATAATAAAAACAACCTTGTATGGAATATGCGACACATATTGATGCGAATATTTTTAATAATAATACCTCACACTAGTTGGTGTATTAGAATAAAATAAAGTCGTTTCATGTGCTGTTTTAATCCTCGATTTCAGAGCAAAATGTGACTTTTCCGTCTATAAAAAAACGCATTAATATTTTTAAATATATACAACAGCAACTGTTTAAATATAAAATCATTTTAGTTATTATACCAGTCAATTTCAGTTGCGTATATCGAGTCAAAGAATTGAAAAAATAATGCTTACCCCTCGGTACAGGTCTTGATATACAGGGTGTGTGGTTCAAGGTGGACACATAGCTTTACTTTTGAAATATTTCAAAAATATTTTTTTTGTTGTAGAGCTTTGAATATTTGGAAAAAGAATAACTTGTGGGACTGTATTTAAGCCCAAAAAATTTAAGGGCAAACATTAACTGAAATTTTGACGCATGCTTGTTGATCAATATCCCTGAAAATTTCAAAGTATTCAGGGTGGACTCGGGCCTATAAAAAATTAATTGCTTTATGTCGATGCCGATGCCGCAAATGGTGTCTTTTGCCGCGACAGTTGCATTTGTGTTCGTCGTGCCTTGTTCTGCGATGAGCATTAGAAAGTTAATGTTTAATTTAATAGTTTGTTGCACTGTGTCTAAAACCATTATGGTATAAGAACGTTCAGTTATACATTTAATACAGGAGTCAAATTCTCATACAAACAATTCTGCGAATAGCTCGGTTATTGCACTTTTGCGGTGATTATTGTCATTTCGCATTCGTATAATTTCTCTCATAATATTTAGAACAAAGATGATTTTAAAATACGCTCTTAATTATTTTTTCAACATAAATCATAAATATAAAATAACGAATATAATGGGCGTTCTATAATATTTGTACATGTAGAATACTGAATGACAGTACCAATATTTGCCTTTTAAGGCACGTTTGATGCTATTTTTAACGTAATATTCTTGGGAATGTAAGAGAACTGCAAATATCTGAGAAAATCGGAACTGTACCTCCCACAATGCCTATATCGTTGAAAAGAGAATTTGACTTTATTTTTTATATGACGCAGAAAAATGCAGGGTGTTCAATTTTAATTTAAAAAGTTTTGTCGGTTTTAAATGTTCAAAATGTAACGTAAAAAATGGTTCACTTGGTATAATTTTCTTCAGGCGATTTTGATAGTGAAATAGTGGATCTTATGTCCTTTGTGTATTCTTAAAAGCGAGTGGAAGCTTCTAGTCTAGAACGAAGAAAGATATGAGGAATTTTCGAAACGCATGCATCTGTCAAAATTTGTATAAAATTTCGAAAACGCTCCTCGTAAGACAGCCCCTATAGTAAATTTTGAGATGCTATGAATATCGCGTGCGATTAACCTGGCTATATCAAAATATCAACAAAATGAGGATCATGCAACTAAGTTAATTTTATATGTGCCTACATTATTGTACTGAATCGTTGAATAAATTAAAATACTTTATGCCTGTTATATATTCTGACGATATACCCGTAACTTCATGTTTTTTTAACAATGTATACATACTTGACAAAACCTTGGTTATTTGAAGACGAACCGGTAGCGAATTATAACCTTTATAGAATTTTTCGGCTTCATAACCTTTTCTTCGCGTAAAGATATTCTTCATTATTATTTTCAACTCTTGATACACCGATTAAAAAACAAGAATTCACGCTATTGCGTGCTTGGAAGAAAAGTTTATATTACTTTAGTATTAGTTAGCCTAATTATAGATATTTACGTTCTTTATGTATTGCAAATGGAAGTGAAAGTTGCTGTAGGTCAAATATTGTTTATTTTCTGTATCTAAGTGAGTATGAAACACAGAATAGTCAATTCAGAAAACTGTCTGTGGTAGATACATTTTATATGAATACAAATTTAATGTCAAGAAAATGTAAGCATCAGAAAAGTCGAATTTCCGTTTCTTCACAATTTTGTTTAGTTTTTTCAGTTTTCTTAAAACTGAAATTTCACGCTTTTTTATGCGCTATCAAGCAGGTAGATGTTACAACCAACCAGTCGGCAAGAATAACCTTTCTATGATTCCTAATAAGATTGCACAGTTTTTGAAACTAGAACATCCTGAAACATATACAGGCCATTCATTCCGAAGAACATCGGCAACGTTACTGGCTAATACAGGAATTGGTGTATTAGTAATCAAGAGACATGGTGGGTGGAAATCAGCCATAATTGCAGAAAGTTATGTTGCTGACAGTTTGAGAAACGAAAATGAAATAGCCAACAGGATTGTTTACAATGACACTTCTACTCCAGATTCTAGTAGTACGTCGCATCATGCTGTTTTAATGGATCAGTCAGATAATATTGAGCGTCCGGTGACTGAAATGGAGCGAAAAATGTGACAATTAGTAAACGTGAGGAGAATAATTATCCAGATTTTATAAATGTTACTAAATGTAATAACTATACAAATACTATAAATATTCATTCATAATAATTAATAAAATGTAATGTTCATCAAATATTTCTATTTATTTGTTCATAAAATATGCATTTATAACACGAAATTGCTTTTAGTTCCTTAATTGTCAACAATTAACAGGTAGTTCTTTTTATATTTTGCGTTTTATAAGTACAAGATAAGCACCAGTATTTTTATCAATATGTAGGTACTAAGAAGAAAAGAACAAATAAAAATAGTTGGTTACTATTTTATTGGTTCACTTTCTCAAGATTTATTTCTTTCTATTACACACTTCTTTGCAACAGTTTTTGAATTCATATTTCTATCGAAAGTGCAATAATAAGGTACCTATATTATTGTTTTTTTTTTACAGTAAGGCAAAAAAATAATTACAGTTTTTTTTTTGAATACCTATCCATAACTTACAAAATGCCTACCCACATGCAAGTAAATACAAACATTATCCTAAAAAAGAGATTTCCCAAGTCAAGGTTTTGGGAAGAACAAATGTATATCTATTTAAGGAAATAGTTATTAAAAAAAATTACACAACCGTGCTTCCACATGTCAAAATTGTTAGAATAAATGAATGTAAAATTTTGCTAATTAAAGTCTACAATGATTACAACTCATTGAGCCTTGTTTTTTTACGGTCTTGGGTAATATTTTGTGAAATATACCGGCAATTACTTGTTTTAAAGATCAGAATTCTTCTAATTCTAAACAAATTTTCAATGTATTGTGAAGTACACCTGAAATGACATGTGTCTTGCTTTCAGAAATTATAGACGCATAATCTTTGCTTTTTACCACAACTTTATTTGACACTTGCTGCTAATAATCGGTAGATCAAACAATTTTTTGAGAAAGGTGGCATATGGGACTATCTAATTCATCGGTTTCACTTAGTTTGTTTATTTATATTTTCTCCAATGTTTCTAACACCTGCAGAACTGGATACGTAATGCCAAAGCCACTAAAAAAATTACCCCATGCTATTATTATTTGCACGACCCCGTATAACAATCCGTTCCTAATTTATTGTTGCTAAACAATACGTCCCTCGAAAAATTATTTACTTTGTAGCTGCAAAACACGACGACGACGCTGGGATATTATTGCAGCACGAAAATTCATACAATGTTCTACTCTGTTCCATCCATGGTCGTCATCACCAGGTGTCCAAATGGTAGGGGCACCAACTACAAGGCTGAGACTCCAACAGTCCTCTTACCAGTCGGTCACAGCGGCCGGTAAAATAACTATAGTCCACTATTTGCACCTGAAGAACATCCACGCGCTACTTTCTGTTTATTTTCCGAGTGTTTGCAAGTCGAGGCGCCGCTATGGAGAAGGAGCCGCAACCAGAGTCCCTTTCCGCAGTCACCATCAAACCGGAATACGCACCATCCGAGGTCTACTCTTCGGAGCCGCCGCCGGTGAGTTCCAAAATTTTCACCGATCTTTCTATTGCGCGTAAAAAAATTACATATAAATATTTTTCGGAATCGCCACCGATTAGTTAGATAATTTTTATTGTTTCAATTTATTTATGTTATGACAGAATACTAAAAAAAATCTATTTTAGTTACATGATGATCTTTGTCAAATATGACGTTAAAACAAAAATAATAAAATATTTTTCTGTAAAATACTACAATATTTAATGATTTCAATATGTTCAATTTACATTAATCTAACACTTTCGTTTAATCAACACATTTGTCATTGTCGTCCCAAAATTTAATTTTTTCTAAAAACTAAATGTTAATCATTAAGAAAATATTAATGGTTCAGATTTTCCTATAACTATAGCTTCTTTCTTACCTTAAAACAGAAATGAAGCTATACAAATGAAAAACGGATAATGGAAACTTGCGTGAAAAGTTAACAGCTGATTTATCAGATCGTAAATGTGCGACAAGAATGGAACAAACTGATGTAAATTTTAGAAAGCAATATTAATTGATATTTAAGTTCCAGTTGGGCGCTTTTGACTTAAAGAATGGAACAGATGTTATCTAAAAAAGTTCGAATTACCTACTGCAACGACTAACACGAAACGTAGTCTAATTCGTTTTACTCGAAACGATCTTTTTGTTAACAAATTCCAACGCCACTGAAACAGAATTATAAAGTTATGTTTTATGTATTCATAAATAATTGTTAGTTGGTCAACAATAAATTGCTTATTTAATAAATATTTAATATTGGAGAGCGATATTATAGACTAGGAACAGGAAATATTATAAGATAGCAACAATTCAACCATGAAATTGAGACGAATGGTAATTTGGGCATGTAATTCGTGTGAAAGAGAAATGTTTGTATAGGAACAGCTATAATACTTTTTTATAAAGCTAAATAATCAAGTTTTAGGCAGTCTAAACACTGAAACAAGCTCCTCACTTGGTATATCCGCTTGTTTCTGCACTAATTATAACAAAATGTAGCTGTTATGAAACATTGCTTTGCCTTTATGAAACGTTTCTACGCAAGTTGAGACAAAATGTAGAAATAGCAGCACTATTTCTACAGAAAGTTCATTTTTTCAATCTGCAGTAAACAAACAAGTATTGTTGCTAAACAGTTGTTGCGAATTTTTAGACAGGTTTGCGGAAAAACCAAATTGTTTTAAAATTCTGTAGGCTTACTCTTATAAATGGGATCGTCAGTATTCCGTGACTGGGTATAAAATATGTATGAGATCTTAATGTAGCCCAGGAATTGTCAATAGCTTTGCATATAAAGACGTTTACAGTTGCGAGCTGTCGCCAAACGAAGAGAAAACTTAGATCCACATGCTTACCAAAACGAATACCGATAAAAATTTAACAACACCTGATACGCAGTGATAATAATTTTACTATTAGTTGCAGTGACACATTTTCCCAATAAATCGAGAAATAGAAACTACGTCTACAAATTAGAACGGAGATCATTAGCATTTACTTTCTTTTTCTCAGCTCAACACTATCGTTATGTAGATAATTATATTGATTTTGCCCACAATACAGAGGTAAAAACCGATACGCTATCATTAGGAACAGGCTGCCGGTTGTTTTGTTCGCTTCCTGACCGAGACCAAAGCGACCGGATTTTTCTACCAAATAGAAGAGTGGATTTCCTAAACCGTGTCATTCGATTGGTATTCGTTATGAGCACACATTTTTTTAAGGAAGCGAATTAAGCAAACCATTCACGAATGAAGCATAATTGTAGAATGTCAAATGCAGTTACGTCACAAGCGATATTAAAAACTTTTGAATATAACTACCTCCTAGACCGCGAGGAAATATGTTTTAAAGTTAAATAACTTAGGGAAACTTGACAACCACAGTTATGGATCATTGCAGGTAAAAATATTATTTAATCAAAATAAGGACTTGTTTTATTTTTGTATCAACCACAATTGGCTGGGTTCCTTGCAGAGATATTGGGATTACGTAAATTTTCATGGTTATCTAGAGTGTTATGCAAACATCTTTGATGTCACGTGACGTGACGTTTAGAATTTGTTTGTACATGGTTGATTGACAGCCATCTATGGTTGGACATTGAGAAATTGTAAACATTACAATGTGTCGCTGACTTTAGTCACTAATTACGATTTTGTCTTTCCCTACTTTTGAAATGGAATTTTTGAACGAAATAATAATCATATAGGTATTAAATTTTTGATACCAAATAAAAATACATTAACACATTAAATTTATAATGTACCTATAGTAATGTTTTATTTAACTGTGATATTTCTTGGAATTTCTAATTTAACACTTAACGAAATAAATTATGAAATTATCGTGCGGTTTCGGAGCTCTCACGATACAGCGTTGCCTTTAACAAACTTTAAACCAGCTCACACCAACACCTAGATAGATTTCACCAATTTGTTATCTTAAAATACCAAAACAAAGAATAGTATCAGTTTCGAAAATATGTTTAGGGGAACAAAGGAAACAAAGCGATTAGGAAACTGCATTAGTAGAATAGCAATGTAACCGTATACGTTGGGGGGTACTGAAGGCTTGTCCTTGTTGTTATTTTTATGTGTCTATTAAAAAAGTAATAATAATTACAAACTAAACGAACCTGTACTTTATAAGTCTTTCCGTTGACTAAGATCGCTAATTATGCTGCCTTGAATGCAGCGCCTGGTAGAAGTAATGAAGGATAATTTAGTAAAGCAATAGTACAATTTTAAAAACAAGCTAGCAACTTCTTATACAACGTGTATTTTAATAAACAAAACATTCACTCCAAAAGATGATTACGTTTAGATTTCCACAGAGTCTTTCGACACATTCTTCAGCTACAGAGGACGAACGACACCCACCGTACCTTTTAAGGCCTAAAATATCTATTTCTTGGTTGTCTACGTTCGTGATACATGCGTTTTAGTGCCATTTATTTTCATAGTTCTTCCCTTCTCTACACAACCCTACTACTCTAAACATCATTCCTACTTTTATATTTAAATAGACTTCATCCGAAAGATTATTTAAAAACTTGTAAGTAAAGATTCTTGATTTATTCACATTATGTCCATCATTTTTCCTCTTAAGAAAAACGTAGGATGTTTTGAAATATCTTTATGCTTTATGCAACAAATATTGTAGCTTTGAGAATAGAGTATTCAGCTCATAAGCTTCCTAGAGACTTTAGATATACTATTTCAGATACACTTCTATCTTTGTTCTATTCAGAACTCAAGCAAAATATTTGCTTCTTCCGATTCAACGTTTATTATATTATATAAGTTTCAAGACGTAAATGCAACTGCTGTTGTTCGCGCGGGCAATTAAATTACAGTTAAATTGAAAATTAGGGTCAAAAGTGACCACAATACCATGAAATATGTAATTATCCTTTATGAGCGGTCACGAGACAGGAAGTTTACTCTAAATGGCAATTTTATATTGCATAAATATGCATCGAAAATGCTACCGAGGTACAATTTGCTAGAAAATCCTTCATAATTGCGTAAAAATATGATAATAGCTAGAAAATAACTGCTGACTATCATCGAACATCAGTCAAAGTTTCACGAGTAAGTGTTAAAATTAGCTTAATATTTTTAAAACACTGAAAAATAAGGTTTTCCTAAAAATATCCCAGTTCTTGGATGTAAGAGGAGGCAAGCTAATTTTTGCTGGAATATCTTCAGTTCAACTCACATAATAAAAGTGTAGATCTCTAGATCTGGGCGAAGTCCGAAGCATTTTCAAAATTGCAAAAATATTTAAAAAATTTAAAAAAATACCTATTTTATCCGAGTGTTTTACTTATATCTTGGAACCTATGCATTTTGGAAGAATATTGAAGAGGAAAAAAAGTTTTAGAATTGAATTTTGCACAACATACTGTACGTTAAAAATGTTTAAAATGTATTACTGATGTTGCAAAATAGCAATAATTGATGAAAAAAGGCAAAATAATCAAGTTTTTTGGATAATTTTTAAAAAATACTTTAATTGCTCCGAGGGCTTTCTAATTTTGGTAAAAAAAACTATAGAGTATAATAAAACAACACACCAAATTTCATTAAAATGGGTTCTATAGTTTTCGAAAAAGAATTTGTTTTTTAAATTTTGAAAAATTTTTTCGATTTTTCAAAATGTTGCACAGCCTCAAATAAAGCACCTAAATACTTGAAAAATTTTTCACATAGAAAAGACCGCTCAACCTTTCAAATGGTTTTTGAAAAATTTAAATCGGTTGATTAGGATTAGGATTTAGAATTTTTAAAGTTAACACTCTTTTTTTTTATTTTTAAACAATTAAATTACATTTATCAATTTCCAATTTAATTTTTTCAAAATTTTCAAGTATTTAAATGCTTTATTTTTTCAAAAAATTATTGAACCGATTTTAATTAAATTTGGTGTGTTGTTTTATTATACTCTAAGTTTTTTTTACCAAAATTAGAATGCCATCGGTGCAATTACAATATTTTTTAAAATTTATCCAAAAAACTTGATTATCTTGCCTTTTTTTCAATTCTAAAACTTTTTTCCTCTTCAATATTCTTCCAACATGCATAGCTTCCAAGATATAAGTAAAAAACTCACATAAAATAGGCATTTTTTAAAATTTTTGCAATTTTGAAAATGTTCCGGACCTCGCCCAGATCTAGGGATCTACACTTTTATTATGTGAGTTGTACTGAAGGTAATAAAGAAAAAAATTGCTTGCTCCCTCTTACATCCACCTCAAAACAGATCCGCCCTAGTCTATAAAGCGAGTAAGAAATAAAACATTTACAAAACGAAACATGACATGATTTTCAATATTTAAATAAAATTATACGAATACATTTTAGTAGTTCCAGGAACATTTGTTACTGCTGGAATAGCTTCATGACTTCATTGTACAAAAAAATGTCAAGAACCTCTTTGCAAGAGCCACCGAACAAACAAATCGTTAACACATACTAATT